TTTATTATTATTATTTGTTTTTTTGTTTTTGAAATATTTCTATCGATTGATTATTCGTATGACTTTGTTAATCGATAAGATTGTGACCCCATTTTTTTCGTTTTATAAAATATTTCATGAATAACGAAATATTGCTGCTACTACTGCTGCTGCTGTTTCTTCTTCTTCTGTTATTGTTGAAGTAATATTTAAAAAAAAAAAAAAAAAGAAATGATAAAGAAGGGAAACAATTCGAGAACGCTAAACGATAAATAATTCTTCGAGTTCACCCGGTCGATTGTGGTTACCTGTCTGTCATTTTCGGAGGCTAATTAAGAATACGAAGCATGTCACTGTGTGTGTCACGTCATTTTTACTTAACCTTTCAAAATATTATTACTTATATCCAAAATGATTTTGACATAATCTTCAATGTTTAAATATTAATAATAATTTTTCTTTTTGTTTTTTTTTGTTTTTTTTTTGTTTTTTCAAAGGAAAATAATTCCTAATTTTTCTACAAACGTACGATGTGTGTGTGTACAATGTGTTATACGATGAATATTAGTTTCATTGAAATGTAATGAATAAAATTAGCAATATGTCTGTCAATATTGTTTGTCAATGTTTCATTGCCATTGAGCCGGCCAATCAGCGCATTAATTGATGAACAAAAACCCCCTTTCTTTTTCTCGAACGGGTGAAAATGAAAGAGCGTGAGAAATAATTCGTTTTTTATTTTATTATTTTATTCTTTTTTTTAATTTTTTACAGTATAACTACACGCCCCCGACAAAATGGCCGATCTTTTGATTATATACACTCCAACTTTGGAATCATATTATACACGTATTATGTTTGTTTGTTTGTTTTTGTTAAAATAATTATTAAAAATATGAAGAATAAAAATGAAAAAAAAAAAAAAAAAAAAACAAAATGAAAGGGGTTAGAGTGTTTATATAGGTTGTTACTTATGTTAGAAATATCATTATGATGTTTAAGATGACGTCTTAAGATGTCATGCTATTGATTAGCAAAGGAATATTTGAAGCCAATGAAGTTTCTACTTAATTGATATTCACTTTAACTTAATAGTTTAAGCTTTAGATTTACGTAATGAGTTTTCCCTTTTGTTTAATAACGTATTTCTATATTACAAAGTGAAATCAATCGATCGATTATGATGAATGACGAAGTGTAAACGTTAAACATTCATTTATATTTAAACAAAGTGAGATTTACAAAATTAGTTTTTTTTTTTTTTATTATGATTCATGAATCAACATTTCATGATTATTCTTAATGTAATATTTTAATGAATAAATAAAAAGAGAGAGAGAGAGAGATAGAAAGAGATGCCAATTTTATTTGGAAATTACCAATCGTAATTTTACGAGTTGACAATAATTTTATTTATAACCAAACAACGATCGTATGTATTGGGTTGTTGGATTTTTCAAGAAAAATCATTGGTTAAATTTGTAATTACTTAGTTGTCAATCTAATACATAGTTTAATATTTAAATATCTTATCTTAATATATCTAAATTACGTGTCACGTTGTTTGTCCGCAATGGACTCCTAAACTACTGAACCGATTTTAATGAAATTTTGCACACTGTGTGCAGTTTCATCCAACTTGAAAGATAGGATAGTTTATATTTCAATTTATAATTCGCAATATTATTTTATTGCCAATTATTTGTTTATTCACAAAGAGTCATGATTATCTCTGTTAGTTCGATAAAATTCTAACAGATCGCGGTATAAGGTAATTCCTTGACTTAATGACCCTATATAGGCACCCCTATATAGTTAAATTATAAATAAATTAAATATTATATTTTGTGATGTTAAACATGTAATACTTCTTCTGTATCATTTGGAATATTGAAAAAAAAATATATATATATATTTATTATATAAAAGTATCTTTTATTTTTTTTTTAAATAGATCATAAAGGTCTCTCACGTAATGTATGACTTTTTCAAATATTATCTACTTGTATCGTTTCAAATTTATTTGGTACTTTTTTTTTTTTTTCTAGATCATACGGCGGGGTCTCACATTTTATGAAATTTTGCAAATATTATCTACTTGTATATATCATTTCAAATATATATGTATATAAATTTATATTCGTATTTTTTCTAGGTCACAGGGGTCTCATATAAATATATATATATATATATATTGTCATGTTTTTAAATATTATTTCTTTTTTTTTTTACATATCTTTTATATTTTTTTTTTATTATTATTATTAATAATACATAAATCAATGAGATTTAGATTTAGAAAAATTCCCCATTTAAAATTGTCTTTTAAAATAATCTCACACGTATCGTTTGAAATATTATATACATAAAAATAATAATTAATAATATAATTGAAATATTGGGATCTCTGACAGGAGCTCACGTGGTGTAGCAATTCGACCTATCTACTCTAATTTTGAATGTAACCACCAGATAGCGTACTCAAGTGCTAGAGATCCCACGTGATGTAGCAATTCGACCT